CTAGAGTTCAAGAAGACTTCCTGCCCCAGGATGTTTTTCCAGTTTCTGGATAAATTTGAAACAAGTATTACTAAGGAACCCTTCTCTGCCGCTGCCCCCAGAGAACAAGAATGCAGAAACGCCGCAAATACCATTGACACCAACAGCATGGTAGACATTGGGGGGTGATGTATATATATGTATACCTATATATTTGCTACTCCTGGTTAAACTTGGAGCAACTGACCTCTTTACCTGAAGTGCTTTCCTCAGGGCAACGCTATATTCTCTACTGTAGCTGTGCTAGGGCTCGCCTTGATTGTACATTGCGGCACCCAGGATGTATGGGATGCATGTGTCGGAACACTCCTCCTCCTCAGAATCATGTACAGTACATTCTCCTGAAATGTTAAATGGATCTAGCCACTGTACAAGAGGTGTGTGTCAAGCAGTCCAACTTCCTTGTGGGTCGTGGTGTCAAACGGCGTCAAAAGCAGGTTGGCTCCGGATTTCCTAAGTGACACTAAGATGTAACGCTCCCACTCTAGTTGTAGAAAAGAAAAGGTGACATGTGCAACATACCGTGCGCATTGTGTGAAGCTAGTCGTGGTGGCCTTACACGGCAACTGTGTACACGAGCTTGTTGAGAGTGTGGCAGCTGACAACTTTAATAGTAGGTCGACCCTTCTTTTGGAGTTGTTTTGCTTATTCTGCTTTGGGGCCTCTTTGGCGGACTTTTTGTTTGTTTGTTTGTTTGTTTGTTTAGTTTTTCTAGTTTTCTGGTTGGCGTGTATGAGACAGATGCTAGAGGTAGCTACCCGTCTTTTGGAGGACCCTGGCTTGTGTGTTGGGGCCCTTCTTCCAGAAGACCTCGTTTTGCGTAGCTTTCCCGCAAGGGTGCCATACTTGTACTGTATACACTAGTATGCGCATCATAGACATATCGGATATGGGTGTGTTGCTGCGCGCGCATTTTGCCAGGTGCACCCGGCTTTGGCGCTGGTTGGCGTGGTGGCTGCCTTTGAGCCGTCGTGTGTGGTCGCCGGGTCGCCGGGTCGCCCGGACGCCCGGTCGCCCGGTCGAGTGGCATGTTGTGAGGTGCCGTTTATGCCCGCGACCCACCACCACGCGAACGCCCACCTCAGCGATGATGAGGAGTCGGATGCCAAGTCGAAGGCCGGATGTTGCGATGTCCCGATGTCCCGATGTTGCGATGTCGGGGTGTTGGTTTGGCCAGGTCGAGGCCATCGGCGTCCTCATCCCGAGGGTCAAGAGTGGCCGCCGGCTTGGAATCGGCGTTGTGCCGGTGCGAAACATGTCCTGGAGCTCGGCTCGTGCTCGCTGGATTACCCAGAAATCCTACGCAAAGCCGCACAAGAATTCCTGGCACGGCAAGGCGTGTGAGTTGTGATCATGTCGGAGCAGTGCCTTTCTTTGCTAACTATTCAGTATCCGCTTAGTATTCGGGCGGGACCCCTTTATTGTTGCGGCGGCACCGCGTAGGCAATTCTGGCGGGCGGGGAAAGGGATTCGCGTAGGCAGTCCACGTAGGTTGTTCATGAAAATCCCACGCAGGCAGGTTCGCGTCGGCGTGTTTTACCCTGCACAAGCTTATTGTTATGACTTGAGAGTAGCGCCCGAGAAAAGTGTGCGTAGGCACTCCGTGTAGGCGCTTGTCGCCACGTAGGATCGCATAGGCGCCCTGGTTTTGCACACCTGCGCGAGGCTCCGCGTAGGCATAGCTGCCAGTGTAGGCCGATGCGCCCAAGCAAATTCCTGCTCATATGGCGGGTTGCGCTGCGAAGCACGAGACGTTGGCTCGATGCAACCGGCGAAGCTGGCCGGCCAGGTGCTCCCCTGCATGCCTTCGAGCACCACCTCAAGCTAGGAGTGGTGCGCGCCTCAGAAACTCAGAGCTGAGAGCTTCGGAGCGTGTCGAGTGTCGAGTCAGCTTTGAGCTCTCGAGCCCGCAAATCTCAAAGAGCTCTCAAGCCGAGGACTTCGGTATGTTCTTCTTCGGAGTGTGCAACGCTGGAGCAGCTCAGATCAAATAAGAGACCCTGACCCGACCGACGCCCCGCACGCTGAGGTGAAGCTGAATTCTGTGGGCACTCTGACTATGGCCACGGTCATTGCGCTCATCGCCAGTAGCTCAGCCGACTTTGAATTTGCTTCTGTGTGGGGAGCAAGTCGAGGTAGGAAAAACCTTGGGAATCGTGTTCTTCGCCCTGCTGGCCCACGTGATGGGCTTTCTCCTGCCAGTAGGAGCCTTCAAGCTGAGCAAACACGCATGTACTGTTCGGCCAGCGCAACATTAGCCAGGTTTGACTTGCACCGACCAAACAGCACAACATCGAGAGACTCTCAGTTGACATACTCGCACACCAGCTACAGCCACCAAGACATGACTCTCAATCACACCAACCCTCTATTGGACTTTTTTCAGGGGTATGTAGCAGAGCCACGGCGGACACTTGTGTCATACCTTGGTTACATGCCTCACATTAGCAACACCGCGCAGCTGGTTACATGATCCATGCCCAAAATCTGAATTCTGCAAGGGTGCCTGCATGCTTTTGCTGGACATACCTGTGCAGAGTCAACTTGAAGAGAGCTTGCCCTTCAGCACAAGAAAAGTTGGCACAGGGCGGAAGAATCCTCTTTCTGCGCAATACCTAGTTACACATCTCGTTAGATAGTCATCACATACCCAGCGACCCCTTTGTTGCTGTCTTTTGGCCTGCTCTGAATGGCTGCAACTTTCGAGCTGGAGCTGTGGAAGTCTCCAGCACTGTTTTCCCGAGACATACCACGTGACAAGGGCCCCCCTTACATATCTCCACAGCAAGATTCGAGCCACGTTTCGCATCACATACTCTCAGAGCGCTTCAACCAGCATGTGCGCACACGCACACACGCACACACACGGATCAAGCTGAGTGCGCCAGTCATCCACATTGCAAATGGCAGGACTGACAGTCGTGGACTTGTTCGCCATGTCCGCATTAGGAGGAGTATCCAACTGAGTATACTGTTGCTTCATTGGCCCTTGGTGCATTGAGATCCATTAGCAGCACTCTTGCCCGCTCTCAGGTTGGTCTAACGGTGGCACTCTTTGTTTCGAATGAGGTGTGAGACACATCATGCCTCGAGTGATGCAACGCTGCGCCAGGCGTTTGTCGATATAGGTCTACGAAGCCAAGCGAAGATGGGAGCTGTCTTTTCCGTGGCGTCTGCCTTTCTGGCGGCCTTGGCATGTTGCGAGTGCGAGGGAGTGCGGAGTGCGATCGAGGGTCCCATCTTGACAGGCCTTCTGCATGAAGTTCTTTGGCGACAAAATCTTCTATCCAAAGCAAGCGGAGGTGCGTTGCGCCGTTGCGCCGTTGCGCCGTTGCGCCGTTGCGCCGCACATATGCCAAAGTGCCACAGCGCAGCGCCAAAACGCAGGAGGACACGCAGGTGGAGCGTATCGATGACGACGAGGATTCAGAAGTGGAGGCATGAGTACCAAGCAGGCAGGTGTGCTGATGGGAACTGCTCCGAGGCAGATGAGTGGTTGGATGTCGTAGCAATGAACGACATCATGCAGGCAGCTGGCAGCTGGCAGCTGGCAAGGTGGGAGGCTGCGAGGCTGCGAGGCTGCTTGCCAGGCATTGTGGACCCAGCGCAAGTATCAGGCTGGATCGGAGTGGATTCGCAGTGGCCACAGTGGCAGTGGATGCCTTGTAGGCCCGAGGGACCGCGCTGCCGATGCAGAAGATGGCTAGGCACGGCAACTCCCAATGGAATGCGCTGCGTGCCCCTTTTGCCAGCGCAGGTCCGTCAGCAAGCAGAGCTCCAGGACGGCAGCTCGGAACCGACCATTGCCAGACATCCCTCAGTGCGGAGGAACGACCTGGGCGTTTTGCTGGATGGGCGCGGCAAGAATGCCCGGGGGCTTGGCGTCCGTTCCAAGCTCACGGTTTTAGCCAAGGCCTGGCAACGCAGCGGCAGCAAGGAACGCCTGGAACGCCCCGGCAGCAAGGAACCAATTCAGCCAATTCCCACCATCCCGGAGGAGGGCAAGTCGGGCAGGAGCTCTGGAGCTCTGTGGGATTCGCTGGGTGAAAGCACCAGTCGGAGTCAGGACACTGGGCAAAGACACAGATGCAAGCTCGGTTACAGTCGAGTTGGCAACTGGCAGAATCTAACATGCCGACCATGCCATAGCATACCGACCATGCCTGATTAAGGATGTGATTATTGAGAATGCCGAGACTTCAGCAGAGGCCCCAGGTGCCGCCAGCAAATTGGGCCCTGACCTTCCCGCCTGAGGCTATTGGCTGAGCTCCAATTGCAGGCGTCAGCAAAGCTGAGAGCCTCAAAAGCAATGGGCATTTTCCATATCCAGATGCCCCATGTCCCAGCCTCGCGCATCACTCAGCCGGGCTTGGGGACACCAGAAAGCAATTCTTCAAACGCCCGAAATCGCACCCTGGCAGCGAGCGAGCTATGCATGCGAGCTGGGATGCAAAGTTCAGTTTCTCTCAGGGCATCTTGCCTTTTTGCCCGGAATCGATGCGCTTTACACACTACAGCTTTACACCTCTAGACCCGGGTTGTTTGAAAAGATGCTTGGCATCGTGCATTGTGACAGTCTCAACTTGTTCTATTTGAATCTGCGGAAGGTGGCATGCCAATTGATGGGTCAGACACGACGTCATACAACCCAGCCTGGTTTCCAGGCGCACGAAAAACAGTGCAAGACTTGACACTTGAAACAGCTAGGGAGCACTGCATAAGCAGTCGCTCTCGCCAGTTTGCTCACTGGGGCCTGCACAGCGACAGCGACATTGAAACATTGCCGGGTCTCGGCAGAAGCAGGCCCTGGGAGCTGTCCCAGTCTCACGAAAGCATCACATGATATCATGTTTGATAGATTGCCAGCTCGTGAGAGCGGTGGCAAGGAATGTTCCGAGGGGGAAAAGACCTGCAAGACCCAAGGGGTTTGGAGCCGATTCGCGAGAGATTTCAGATGGAAGGCTGTGCAGCCGGGTGAGATGATCAGGATCCGCTTGCAGAGACGCGCGCTCGCTAATTGTTAGTGCCCAGGATCTGCGAGCGGGGCATTCTGGGCCAGACCCTGTGGTTGGAAGCCCAAGTTGAAGTGCTGACAAGGTCCTTGTTGTTTCCGGCCGGCACAGAGGCGCATGCGCAAGGTACATTTTTCTCAAGTGTTTCTCGGTTCCTACCCAAAAAAAGCAGAGTGCATGTATTCAGTGTAGGTCATTGGAAGATGTAGTGTTTGGGTTGATCTGGCTGTGCCTGGGAGACATCCAAGATTCACTAGACGGCTTCCTGGATTTACTGAGCGTATCTGGAGAAGAAGCTGCAAATTTCAGCATGTCAACACACAGACTCTCATAGTGACGCTTTGAACTGCGATTTGATGACGCCAGCAGCAACACATTGTGTGAAGTTTGACTCCCCCTCACTCCAAATGTCGAGTCAGGCTGTGCCTGATGGATGGCCGCGGCTGGGTGACGGAGAAGCCGCGGCCTATCTCCGCCGAGTTGTTTTCTCGGTGTGAGCCCACACTCGACTCTGGTGAGTGTCACGACATTCTTTGCTTTCTTTTTTCCATCTCTCTGGTCTTCCCTTCTCCTTTTCTTCTCTCCAGGTTTCTTCCCACGTTTTTTCTTTTCCGTTTTTCTTCCCACGTTTTCTTCTCGGCTTTCTTTTTTTCTGTCCATCTCCGTTTTTTCTTCCATGGATGGAGGCACACCGAGACGGACCGGAGTCTTCCGGCCCCGAGGTCCTCGCGGCGGCACCTCTCCGAGGTCAACGACGAGGGCGCCGCGAAGGCCCGGAGAGAAGCGAGAGAAGACGAGAGAAGACGAGAAGAGAAAGAAGAGGAAAAGAAGAGGAAAAGAAGAGGAAAAGAAGAGAAAGAAGAGAAGAGAACAGAGAAGAGAAGAGAAGACGGGAGGAGAGAAGAGAAGACGGGAGGAGAGAAAAGAGACCTTTTGGCGGAAAGAGAGGGGCGTTTCAAAGGAGAGAAAGCGGGGCTGCGTTTTTTCTCAGGTTCAAGTAGGACGGAACGAGGATACGAGGATACGAGGATACGAGGATACGAGGATAGTATATTTCGGTGTTTTTTCATCTTGTCTCGATGTATCCCTAGAGAGAAAGACGATGCCTCTTGTCCTTCTCTTCGTTTCTCAGACCAAGTCGAAATGGAAGTCAAGTGAGGTTGGAGGCGCAAAGAAAGAGGCCAAGAGAGAGAGAGCGAGACGTGTCAATGCGGGGCATCGCAGGGTCAGAAGCTGATGGTGGATCCGCGTTTGGACAAGCCGGTGAAGCTGTTTCCAGCGCCGTTTTCTTTTGGCTCCGTGGCGGGGGCGCCAGAGCTGTCGGCGTCTAAGCAAAGCCTCGTCTTGGATCTCTGAGCGAGCCCCGAGCGAGCCCTCGAGGCTGGCTGGCGAGACCGTGGTCGTCCTCCGAAAGGACCGTCGTGTGGGTGTGGGATGGGCGGCCAGACGCTTGCGCAGGTCCTGGTGCTGGTGCCGTCAGGCAGCCAGGAGTCTTGGGTCAGATACCTCAAGGCACCGGGAGGGGCAGTTGCCTCTTGTGTTTGTTGCGCCTTTGGCGCCTTTTGCGTGGAGAGAGACGGCGGAAAGACTGTTGGTTGCAACTGCCTAGTTTCCATGCTGTCTCAAACATGATCCGCCCAAAATTCAGATGCGACAAATTGTGACTGCAAGCAAGGTGAACTGAAAGGTATGGGTGAACTGGGCACAAAGAACATGGACCCGATTCCGAATCAGGTTGCGTGTCACAATTGAAAGAGACGCAGCGAGTAGATGTAAGTGAGGGCTTTCAATCCTCAAAGAGAGCGATTGACAAAGCTCAAATTATCGTACGCGTACTACATGCGAATACCTTGGTCAGGCGTGCGCGTGCCAAGTGTCATCACCAGTGCTGATTCGTGCGTTCGGGTTCATCAGCATCACCTAATCAGGCCTGATTTTGCCATCCATCCTGAGCCAACAGAATGCCAAGCAGCATCATTCCTAGCGTCCTTCGAAACGCTTTCCATGCAATCCTCTGAAGCATCCATTGCTTCGCGCCTCAGTCTCACTTCTGCTGTTGCTGACATCGATCGAAGAGAAACCCGCCTGAATTGCCGGCTTGTGGCCAAAATGCGTTGGCAACGTACCACTGGTGTCACTTGCAGCGTCATCCATTGCGCTGTGGCACTAGTGTGCTCTTCGTCATCAGCTGTCCCTGCAATCACTGGAGACTCAGCCAAATCCAAGGTTAGACGACTGGGTGGTTTGTATACATTTTGCGGCACTTTGCCCACATCGGGGCACTTTCGTGCCAAAATTTTTACAACATGTTTGCAATGCTTGTTAGGAGCCATTTTCACGCATTGCAGCACAGATCACCAGCTTCACAAATTGTCAAACAATTTCCACCCAAAGGCGCGCGTGAGAAATGTTTCACATTTGTCACTCTCAAGATGTCAATAGTGATAGTCTAGGGCATGGACGCCTCAGTTTTTGCAATCGCCCGGGGAGATGTCAGCACGGTAAGAGCGCAGGTTCCAGCGCATCTGTGCTTGATGGTAATGTAATCAGGGGACATGTTCCAGCGCAAATGTGGTTGCGTGAGTAATCGCAACTGCTGCGCGCGTCGTGGCAGCTGGATAAGAACACGCGCCCCAGCGCTTTCGTGGTTGCATGCGTGGTTGGCAACAGGATAAGAACCTCTGTTTCAGCACACTAGTGGTTTCTGCACGCATGAGCGCAACATGATAGGAGATGATAGGAGCACCCGTTCCAGCATTTTCAGAGTTGCTGCGCGAGTCACGAACAGAGCTCGCTCAGAACACTTCGACTTAATGTAAGCTGGCACTGAGCGTGGTACGGCGACTAGGGCGTGGCATGGCGTGGCTACCTTTTGCAGCGCTTTGTCTGATGTTGGTATTGTGCTAAGATCTTTGAGGCCGGAGTACGGCGAACGAGTCGTGCAAAAAAGTACAGGGGAAACGCTGTTTTTGGCACGCAGCACGTCTAAAACTGAGAAGGGGTTTTGGGCGCAGGGTGGTCGTTTTGCCAAGCATTCCTTTGGCTTTTGGGAATGTTGAGACTCATGCATGTTTTCGAACTGTTCCCGTTGGGTAGCGCCCAACTGCCACCGTAGGTGGAGGATGAGAGGAAGATCGAAGGGTGGCTTGGCGAGTTGAGGCCAGGGTGACATAGCCTGGAGGTAATCTGGCTGCTGTTTGAACTGTTTGCTCTTTTGTGCCTTGCAGGATCCATTGCGGCATCAAGGGACCCGCCCAGTCAGAACCAGTCCTTCACGAGTTCAAGGCACGTTTGGGTACAGGGCGAAACGGTCCCCGGATTCCCTTCAAGGCTGGGTTCTAAGTTGACAATTCTTTACGCGAACGCAAAGAGACTAGCTTGAGGTTTTTCAGAGTTTCTCCCTCTCGCATGTTGAGAGTCGAGAGCCCTTTAATTCTTCAGTTCGGAGGCCGGCTTCGGGGAGCAGCGCAGCAAGTCCCCCTGGGTCTCCGTCATTGCAAAGGCGCCTGTGCCGCTCCTGTCTGGCCCGTCCAGGACGGAACCGCATCATTCCAGTTCGCTCGAAGTCTCGAGTTCTTTTCTTAATCCGTGAGGCAGTCGGAAAGGACCACGCAGTCACAGGACTTTGGCCTTGCGCGCAGGACCCGAGGTATGAAGAAGTCGCTGAGCCCCGGCGACTTTGTGGAGGCCGGAGGTTTGATCCCAGACCCGCTTGCAACTGTGATTGTGTTGACTGTGTAGACCGTGCACATGGCGAGTGTGCTCATTGCGTCGATCTTGATTGTGTTGCTTGTGTTGATTGCGTCGATCATTGTTGATCATTGTTGATCATTGTTGATTGTTGTTGATTGTTGTTGATTGTTGTTGTTTGTTGTTGAACGTCTTGGTTGTGATGATTGTGTTCATGGTTGTGTTGATCGTGTTGATTGTGCTGATTGTGCGGATTGTGATGGTTGTGATGGTTGTGTTGATTGTTTTGGTTGTGCCGATTTCGGTGATCGTGACAATTTTGTTGGTTCTCTTGATTGTGTCGATAGTTGGTGATCGTGTTGATTGTGCCGATTGTGGTGATTGTCTTGATCGTGGTGATTATGCTGGTTGTGCTGATCAATTGTGCTGATTGTGATATTGTGTTGATTGTGCTGAATTTGCTGATTGTGTTGATTGTGTTTGGGTGCGCCCCGACAGTATTGATCGTTGGTGTTTGTGCTCATCGTGCTGTTTGCGCTGATCGTATTGTTTTGTGTTGATTGTATTGATTGTGCTGATTGTGTTGCTCGTATGGATGGTTGTTTGTCGTGTTGATTGTGTTGGTTGTGTTGATTGTGTTGATAGTGGTGATTATGCTCATTGTGTTGGTCGTGTTGTTTGTGCCCAGTGTGCTGATTGTGTTTGTTGTACCGATCGTGCTGAGTCTGCAGGTGCTGAGTTTATTGTGTTGGTTGGGCTGATTGGGTTTGTGCAACATGTGCGCATTATGTTGCGTGTTTGATGGTGTTGAGTGTGTGCGTTGTGTTGATTGTGTTGAGCGTGCTGCATGTCAATTGTGTTAAATGTGCTGAGTATGTTAATTGCACTTGTGTGTACTGTGCTGATTATGCTGAGCATGTTGATTGTGCCAAGCTTGTTGGTTGTGCTGAGTTTGCTGAGGGCGTTGTGTGTTCATTGTGTTGACTGTGCTGATCGTGCGGTTTTGTTGATATGGGTACTGGTTGTGCTGAGTCTGTTGATTGCGATTGTGTTGACTGTTCTGGCTGTGCGCTTGTGCGGTGTTGATCAATTGTGCTGAGCGCGTCGATTGTGTTGGTGCTGATTGGGCTGGGCATGCTGATTGCTTCGATTGCATCGGTTGTGCTGATTGTGCTGCTTATATTGGTTGTGCTGATTTGCTGACTGTACTGAGCGTCTCGACTGTGCTGTGTGCTGTGTGCTGTTGATCGTGTTGAACGCGCTGGTTGCGCTGAGTGTGCTGGTTGTCCTTGTTTTGTTGATTGCGCACCTTGTTCTGAGTGTGCTCAGTGTGTTGATTGTCCTGATTGTGCTGATTGCGCTGATTGTGTTGATGGTGCGTCGTGTTCTGAGTGTGTGGTTGTGCTGATTTAGCTGATTGTGTTGATTACGCAGATTGTACTTAGTGTGTTGATTGGGCTCTGTGCTGGTTGTATTGATTGTGTTGAGCCCGCTTCGTATGGGGATTTTGCTGATTGCGCTGAGTGTGGTGGTTTTGTTGGTTGTGCTGAGTCTGTTTATACTGCCGAGTGCGTTGATTGTGTTGATTGCGCGGAGTGTGTTGGTTGTGTATGTTGCGCGATTGTGTTGGTTGCACTAAGCGTTGATTGCGCTGAGCGTGGTGCTTGTGCTGACAGAGTTGAGTCTGATTGCGCTGACTGTGTTCATTGTGTGTTGCTTTTGTTGATTGTTTTGATTGTTGCCTGTGCGTTGGTTGCTTTGATTGTGCTCAGTCTTCTGATTGTGCTGATTGCGCAGTGTTAGTTGTTTTGGGGGTGTTGGTTGTTTTGGGGGTGTTGATTGCGCGGAACGTGTGCTCAGTATGCAGATTGTATTGACTTTGTTGATTGTGTTGTTCGTTCTGATTCTTTGATTGTGCTGAGCATGTTGGTTGTGCTGATTGTGTTCATCATGCTTGGTGCTGGTTGTGCTGATTGCGTTGGGCGTGCCGAATGTACTGATTGCGCTGATTGTGCTGGTTGTTGGTTGCGCTGATTGTGTTAATTTTGCGGTGTGTGTTGTTTTCTAAGTGTGTCGATTGTAATAATTGTGTTGATTTCGTTGATTGTGCTAAGTGTGTTGGTTGTCTTGATTGTTGTGATTGTGCCGGTTGTGAAACGCTGATTGTGCTCAATGTGTTGGTTGTGCTGAGTGTGTTTGTTGTTTTTGTTGTGCGTGTTGCTCGATTGCGTTAGTTGTGCGGAGCCTGATATGGTCCATCATGTTGCTTGAGCTGATTTCGTTGAGTGGTTTGAACCTGCTGATTGCGTTGATTGTGTTGGTTGTGCTGGTTGCGCTGAGTGTGCTGGGTGTGTTCATTGTGCTGAGTGTTCCGGTTGTGCTGTGTGCGCTGTGGTGGCTGTGTTGATTGCGCTGAGCGTTTGATTGTGCTGATTGTGTGTGCGTTGGTTGCGTTGCTTGTGTTGATTGTGCTAGTTGTGCTGGTTGTACTGAGTGTGCGGCTTGCGATGACTGTGAGGATAGCGCTGAAGGTGCTGAGTCTTTTGAGTGTGCTGAGTGTGTTGATTGTGTTCATTCTGTTGGTTGTGCGGTTTTGTTGATGGTGCTCTGATTGTGTTGATTGTGCTGATTGCGTTGATTGTGTTGTTTGTGCTGATTGTGTTGATTGTGCGGTTGTGTTCATGGTGCCCTGATTGTGTTGTTTTTGCTGATTGTGTTGATTGTGCGGTTGTGTTGATGGTGCTTTGATCGTGTTGATTGTGTTGATTGTGCTGTTGTGTTGATGGTGTTTTGGTTGTGTTGATTGTGTTGGTTGTGTTGATTGTGCAGATTGCGTTGATAGCGCGTTCTGTTGATTTGGCAGAATGTGTGGTCTGTGTTGATTTTTCTAATTGTGCTGATTCTGCTGTGTGTGTGTGTTGGTTGACTTGATTGTGCTGCTCATGTTTGTTGTGCTGATTGTGATTGTGGATGACTTGAATGTGCCGAGTTGTGAGGATCGCTTTCCCGATGCTCGGTGTCGGGATTGGCTTCGATGCTTAGGCCGTGGAGGAGCTCAGCGTAGCAGGGCTGACCTTTTACAGGCGCTTCGGTGCCACACCGATGGACCGGTCCGGACCGGTCCGGATCGGATCGGCGGATCGGCGGCTCGGCGGATCGGCAGTTCTGGTTGTCTCCGCCTTTGATGCAGGCTGGCGGATGGCTGCTGGGTGGCCAGGGAGGAAGCCGGCAAGGCGCGAAGGCGGGCATGCGGTGTCATCGGTTCGACTCCGGAAAGGTTGTTTGTGACCTCCTGACACGGGAGAGCCACAAATGGATCTACGTCTGCAATGACAAGGACTACATGTGACAGTGGGATACAGTGGGATACAGTGGGATACAGTGGGGACATTGGCAGAGAACACCGGTAGCTCGAGGATGGGGCACAGGTGCGATTAACGCCGACCCGCTCGAACGCAAAGAATACTGGCAAACGACTGAAGTACCGGAGCCCTGCCTGCACTGTGATCCTGCCAGGGCATGCCTCGAGTTGTGCTCATGAGGCAGCGTGTGATGATCTCCGAGAAGGTTACCTTCGCAGACAATGATGCCGGGCCTCTCTGGCACATGTGGATGGGCACCCGCGAGTCCGAGCGAGGTCTTTTTGAAGCTCTCAGAGGAGAAGAAGGGCGGGAGGGCCCGGGAGTCGAGTCGAGAGCTCGCCGATGGCGCCGATGGCGCCGTCTCTGCTTAGGCTGGGTCCCGGCCAACAAGCTGAACTCCAACGTCGTGAAGATGGCCCGGCGCCCCGTTCTCCCGTTCTCCCGTTCTCCCGTTCTCCCGTTCTCATGTCGCACCAGAGTCTCACGGTCTCACGGTCTCACGGGCTCGGAATCCAAACGCCTTCGGCCTTGGGCTTTGTTTCCGAAAAGACCAAGCCTGGAGTCGACGGGTCTGAGGCTGCCTTGAAGGCTCTGGAACCTGAGAAGCCCAAAGGACCTGCCGCGTACACGCGGCGAGCTCAGCTGGCCAGCTAGCCCTTGAGCTTGAAGCTCATGCGATCGAGCCCGGCACAGGGGCAACGTCCCCAATGGCAACGCCTACGGCAACGCCGGCTACGATGCCTATGGCTACGGCTACGGCTCCAACGGCTACGGCAACGGCCTGTGCCTCTCTCGAGTCTCACTTGGCCGACGGTCTGGGTGAAAGGCTGCGGCTTTGGGGCCCCTGGCTACGCATGCGGCGCCGGCTATGCTGGGGCCGGGGCAGCGGCCGGGGCCGGCTATGCGTACGGAGCGCCAGGGACCTAAGGACCTAGGGACCTAGGGATCTGAGAGCTGGGGAAGTGCTCGGGAAGTTGGAGTGAGTGAGGCCCGGTGCATCCGCCGCAAGCCAAGCAAAGCAAAACAGATCTCGAGAGATGTCGAGAGAAGCTGAGGACTTCGGACTCCCGGCCCGGCGCTCTTCGATTTGATTTTGTCGTTTCGTTTTGTCGTTTTGTTCGAGTCAGGCGGCGGGCTATGGAGCCGGCTACGGAGCGGGCGCAGGTTGCGCGGGGACGGGCTACCCGGCCGGGGGCTACCCGGGCGGCGCAGACTTTGGCATCGCGGCGCGGGGCTCAGATCGGAGCATGCGAGTACCAGCACGCCTCTCGGCTCGAGGCAAGTTATCCGCCGCGTGCCTATCGACATTCACTATAGCATATGAAGCTCCGGAAGCTCGGGATGTTCTTGTCAACGCACGGAAAGCGGTTCTAAGGCCGACGCCGTGCCCAGCCGGCATCCCAGTTGCGGATCGAGCGTGGCTTCATGTTTTCAGCCCCAGGCGGCCATGTACGGTGCGAATGCACCGAATGCGCCGAATGCGCCTGGTGCTCAGATCTGACTTCTCAACGTGTCTTTGGTTCGCTTTGCAAAGATCAAAGATCTAGGCAAATGGCGGTGTGGCTCTCAGATCTTTCTGGCGTCCCGAGTGCAAGCGGAATCCTCCAGGGCTGGAATGATGCGGGCTACGGAGCCTCGTTCCGGCCGATGACTTGGACTTGCAAAATTTGAAGTTGAGAAGTGAGGTTTTCGATAGCTCAGGTGAAATCGTCACACGGCCAACTTGTAAGTTTTACGTATCACTTCGCCCCAGCTTCGGCGCCCAAAGGCGTCGGAGCCGCCTCCCGTGCGGATCTTCAAAGAGTCGTGTTGAAACCAAAGGCTTCTTAGACTTCCTAGGTTCTTTGATTCCCAGTCTCTTCACACCTCCAAGGGAATGAGCCTGGCTCTTGACCTTGGCATTGTTTCGTGAAAAAAGCAACCTCTATAGCAGACCGGCAGCTTTTGACATGATATTTTGGAGTACCCTGGTCAAACGTGGAAGCCACCGCTGGCAACACGCTGACCGCAGCCATCAATCCCAAAGTTAGGGAACCTCACAAGGCGATAACATGCGATAACCTGCGATAACCCGGTGACTTGGTGACAACCACTGGAGGGCCGGTGACCAACTCCTCACTCCAGCTTTTGGTTCAACATGGCATTTTATGTCAATTCCTATCCAGACGTTCCTTTGGAGGCGAACCACGCGAACCGTGCCACAGGGCTTGAAATCCTTTAAACTTTTGACTTACCCTGCATGTGAGAATTCTGCCCTGAATCTCATGTGAGCCCAAGCGAGTCTCATCGCACCGTGATGACTGTCTGTCACTCAGAAGTGACTCAGAAGAGAGTGATGAGTCACGATTCTAAACTCACTTACCGAAAGGCTGACCATGACCTTCTCAGCAAGCGTTTGCGGCCGAGCTTTCCAAGTCCCGTCCCTCTCACAGTGGAGAGGCCAGAGCCTTAGGTGCGGAGATGGCGAGCCGGCTGCGGCAGAACCTGACCGACCCAGCGCCCGAGACTTGAGACTTCCGATCGGCGTGGGCCGAGTGGGCCGACTGAGGGTCCGCGAAGCTGTGCGGCGGCGCTGCAGCTCGGTGCCGCTGGACAGGTCCCGTGGCCATTGGGAGGGAGCGAGAGACCTGCGAAGCGAAGGCCGACCTCGCGCCCTGCCGCAACCTCAAACGAGAGCGCCCCTCAGCCCGAGAGCCCTCAGCTTCAGGAGCGAAGGCCGCCAGGCGCGGGCATGGCGTGCATGGCGCGGGTCGGTTGGATCTGTGTTGGATTGGTCCGAGGCCGCGGGCCCGGGCCCGGGCAGCCCGGGCAGCCCGGGCAGCCCGGGCAGCCCGGGCCTTTGGGCCTTGGATCCGGGCGAGCCATGAGCCCGAACCTCCGAAGCGCTCGCAACACGAGCCGGGAGCGAGGCAGGGTCGAGTGTCGAGCCACTAGGCTTCCAGAGGTTGCAGGCCTGGCCAAGTGGAATCTGCAAGGCACCCGTCCATCCAGCCGCGAGCGAGGCCGGTCGCGGCTGGCACGTCAATGCATACGCAAGTGTCTTGCATTTCTTTAGGTTATGCCACGTGCCACTCGGCTCGGCAAGGCTGGCCTTTTTGCTTGAGGGCAGCAAGATGCAAAGCTGTTTTGGAGCTCAGCATGCCAAGCAAGTCTGAACGACAGGCCGCTCTTCAACTGCTGGGAGCTTATCGCGAAGCCAATGAGTTGGCCTTGAGGGCAGCTGCCGGTGCTGAGCAAAGCACTCACTGTTTCAACCCATTGTTGTTCAAACGCATAGGTTCCTGGTATGCAGAAGTCTTCGCGACTGCCTGAGCAAGAGCAAAGCGTTCTCTTTACGCCTCGTTGGCATCTTTGCCAATCTCAGATCCACCGGGGCCTTGTCTTCGGGGTCGTCTGCAGGACCTTCGAGGCGTGCCCTGTCTGACTCCGCTTTCTCTGCGTTGCGATTCCAGCGGCCCCCCGCGTTGACACGAGGCCTCGGTCCCAGCGCGGCCAGGCGACTGCCGTGTGTCCAGCCTGCCCCCCGGGCTCCCCCGAGCTCAGGCCAGACCGCGGGTGAACCCAGAGCTGTGGCCCCGAGACTTCGCTCCAACGTGATGGAATGAGCGTGCCGAAGGCCCATCCCGATCCGCGGGGGCAAAGAGGGCAAGGAGGGCAAGGAGGGCAAGGAGGGCAAGGAGGGCAAGGAGGGCAAGGAGGGCAAGGAGGGCAAGGAGCAGAAGGCTTTCTGCCGCTCTGTCAGAGCACACTGCAAAGCCCAGTCCAGGTCCCGGCCGATGCCCAGGCAGCTTTGGCGCGGGCTGCCTGGCGCCCGCTCGGCTTGGGCCGTTGGGCCATAGCCATGTTCGCATCAGGTGGCTTCCCTTCTGGGGGATGGCCAGTGGCCCAGCACTTTGCGAGTCGAACGGAGCCGCGAGTCCGCATTCGCGCTCCCGGCAGGCTCCACCGCAGTATCGTCTGCGGTGCAAGCTGCTGGCCCGCTACAGGATGAGTTGGTGAAGGTGCCTATGAACTCGCACTTGGCGTGACGGCACGTTGTGTTGCTCAGGTGAGCACCAAGCTGGGTCAGTTGGAGCGCCACAATCCTATCACGTCACGCTCACGTGGGTTCTTTCAACTCAACGGCTTGCGGCTTAGGCGAGCGACAGCGGCTCGCCGAGAGTGGCCTCAGCGTGCTGGCCGCGATCTCGTGCCTTCCGCCGCGCGGTGGCTGGGGCTTGTACCAGGCGCGCTGCTCCTCCCAAGAGAGGCCCCGTGCGCGCGAGGAAAGGCGGGGCCCCAAACGTAGCCCAATTGCTTCGTCTGCTGCATTCGCGCCTTGTGCGCGACGGGATCTCTTTTGTTTTTACAGGCTGGAAGCCAGCCCGACAGAGGCCGTGAGTTGCTTGTGTGCTGTGCTGTGCGGCATAGTTCAGGCGGACGGGGAGCCGGAGACTCTTTCTTTGGCCAAGTTGAAGCGAGAATCCCGATTCCGAGGCACCCCTGGCTGTTGGCCGACGGGCGCTTGGTCACTGCCCGCTTGGAAGGTGCGCCGGGCCGCGCCGGCACAAGCCGGCACCTGAATGGGCACCCGCTGGATCTCGGGAGGCGAGAACCTCGCATTGAAGCGGGCCGTGATCAAAGCCCGCCGCGAGATTGACGGGCCAGAACCTTGAACTCGAGCCAGAGAGCTGTGTCTTGATTCTGCACTTGAGACAATTCGGTGCCTTTTTAGTCTTCCTTCCATTTGGTCAAGGAGAAACGGTTGACTTGAGTCATGGCCAATTTCTTGGCCTTGTTTGGGAGTTGAGCTTTCTATGTTGTTCCAGGCTTCTGAGAATTACGCGTATTTTCCGAGTCCTGTTTAGGGTTTGGGGTGCTTTCAGTGGTCTGTCAAGTTTCAAGTTCGGCGAGCTGGGTGACTTTGTGGATTTGGACACCTCAGCCCGCAAACTGAGGCTGTTGAAGGGCAGAGCCGAAACCGAGGCATTGAATGCTCTGAGGTTTGAGTAACTGAGTATGAGTTGAGTGGCACCGGGTTTTCGTCGGAAAGGCGCGGGTGCGGGCGCTGAACGAGGAGAACCGCGCAGCCAAAGAGGCCCGGGGTAAGTAGATAAAATGGGGGAGACTTAGAATGGAGAGATGTGCAAAGCATGGTTCAGCATGAAAGGTGACAGCCGAAGGTAGATTGTGAGCGTGCGAATGTGTAGGCACTGCGGCGCTGCACGAGCTCCTGGACGGCCAGCTTGGACCCGGCCGAAGGCCCGGATGTAGGCAGAGAGCAGCTCAGCAGGCTCAAGGCCGAGGCGTTCTTTCGCCTCGGCCTTCACAGGTGAGAACCTCGCCAGCTTGCTGCCGGGAGCTCAGGCCGAGTCATGCGTCAATCCTCCCTTCCTTTCAGGAATCTTAATGGTGGTCTTCGATCAAAGCATCGAGGCTGCGTGCTGCTCCGGAAGTCCGTTTCTCGACCTTGAAGCGTCACAGACAGCTGCTGATTTTTTGGCAGGTCTCTCTTTCAAACAGAGGCTTAGTGTCACTCGTAGTGATAACTTTCAATAGCTCCAGATCCTGCGCCGGCGGCATGTAAATGAGAAGAAAATCCACGCGAACAAATTCGCTGACGTGGCCAGGAGACAGGGAGATGCGAGAGGTGTGGGAGGAGAAGGAGAAAGAGCCCAAGGTTCCGGAGGTGAAGGAGAAGGAGCGGGCATGACGGGTGTTTGTTTGTTTGTGTGTCTCCAGTTCGAGGGAGAGTCGGGCGCCCGCTGAGGACCCTGCAAATGGCCGGGGCCGCAGATGCGCCTGCCAGCACTTGCACCTTGGAACTGAGCCATCAAGGGTCCGGAGTTCTTCCGGAGTTCTTCCGGAGTTGTGCCCGAGTTGTGCCCGTGCCCGTGCAGCCCGTGCCATGTGATATGACTGATATGACCACTTGGCGTGGCCCGGTCCGGGACCTGGCCGCCCAGCCCGAGCCGAAGGAGCCGAAGGAGCCGAAGGAGCCGAAGGCGTCGCGGCTGCTCTTCCTGGACGTGGATGGCGTGCTGCACCCCCTCCAGGACCGAGCCGTCCGCGTTCGCGTGTCCCCTCACAATTCGGGGTTCGTGGCCAGTATGGGGGGGAAGAAGAAAAGCGGGAAAAACGGGGCAACAGGGAGGTGCCAGGGAGGTGCCAGGGAGGTCCTAGGGCGTTTGAGGTGCGGATGGGCGAGGGCAAGGTGGACACCTCCCACTGCTTCGCTGCACCATGCATGGCGCAGCTGCGGCGGGTCGTGGCGGAAACCCAGGCGGAGCTGGTCATCAGCTCCTCTTGGCGCCGGCCCGGCCGTCGAAAATCGAGTTGACAATTTTCCACGAAATGGTTTCAGAGTTACAAGGAGCTTTCTGATCTCGACAGGTTTGAGACTGCTCGGGAAGTGTTGGCTGAGACCCTGGCGCAGTATGGCCTGGCTGTCAGCGACTGGACGACCACAGCCGGTGGCGAGACCAACAATGCCCGCGTGGACCAGATCTTGGCATATGTGATGGCTAGCCAGGCCTGCACATGGGCAGCCGTTGACGACGAGGTGCAGTAACCCCTTGTTCCCTCTTTTTTTGCACTCGCCACAAGAAGAGTTTGACCTCGACATGTTTTGGATTTCATGTCCTTTTTTTGCGGCTGGCATCAGGATCTTGCACCCGGTGGCGCTGCTGGGTCTGAGAGCATGATGCAGTCCCTCTTTCGCCAGCATTTTGTACGCACCGACTCATCCAGAGGCTTGGACGCTGCAGCCGCCGAGACCCTCATCGAGCTGCTTCTCTCCGACTCATGATGCAATGCTTGGAATTGCTGGCGGCTAGACGGTCCCTCCGGGCCGCTGTGCGCCTGCTCGCACGAGAGGCGAGGCGAGGACGCGGTGATGGGAGCCGTGCCCGGGGTTCGCGTGCGGCTTGGAGCACTCGAGAAGCCAAAAAGTACTCGGAGCGCTGCGAAATTCGGTCCACTCCGGTCCCGGATGCTCGACTGTTGCACCTAGGTGAGGGCCAGGCCTTGGGAGACAAGGCCTTTGTCGCCTTCTTTTGGCAAGGTTCAGAGCGATGTTCCAGGCCCGGAGCAAGCTGCTCCAAACCAGCGACGACATTTGCCGCCGCATGGAGGAGCTGGCAAGCCGAGTCAGTGCAGCTCAGATATCCATTGCACTTGCATCTGAGGAGCTGTTGGCTCGCCGGGGCCGACAGGCCAGAAAGCCGGCTTGAGCCTGAGCACGAGACGCGAGCTGAGGCCTTGCTGGAATCCACAGGCGCGCAGCTTGGGCTTGCAGAGTTAAAGCTTGCGCTAGCAAGCTTAGCTTAGCTTGAGAGTCTTAGAGTCGAAGAGACTCTCAATTCAGAGAAAGCGGCTCTTGGCGTGCGACGCGGGCGAGACGCGCGAGACGCCCAAAGCGCTCTGGGCATGCGCCCTGCCGGCTCGTGGCCATGGACCAGGCGCGAAGTTGCCGTTCGCGCGCAGTGACTCGGCTTCTCGACTTGAAGGCCCCGAAAGGCAACTTGCACTTTCGAATGCTTTTGGATGCTTTTGGATGCTTTTGGATGCTTTTGGATGCTTTTGGATGCTTTTGGATGCTTTTGAATGCTTTTGGATGCTTTTGGATGCTTTTGGATGCTTTTGGATGCTTTTGGATGCTTTTGGATGCTTTTGGATGCTTTTGGATGCTTTTGGATGCTTTTGGATACTTTTGGTCCTTATTGCAGGTCATTTGGGCTCAAGTCCGGGGTTAGCCATGGCCAAGTCCTGGTCGTTTCAGGCGAGGTCCAGCACTACGATTCTACACGATGGCCTTGACATGGAACTCATGACGGAAGCGGGCCAGTTGCTGCACCGCGATGATAGCACTAGCTGCTTCAACTCTTATGGCTCTCAGCACTTTCAGTTCAACAACAAGAATTGCTGCGGCACGATGTTCCACGTGAACGTCCTGGAGAACAAGGCAGGTGCCGGGTCATATTGGAGCAGCTTGTGAGGAAGGCTTGAGTTGAGGGGCTCCTGCCTGGGAAATCATGTTTTATCCGCGTCGCAATTGGGTGGTGCCGTATCGGCTATTCTATTGCTACTTAACCTGAGCTCCCGGGTGCCTCTCGTACACCCGGTCAAGCGTCTGGTCTTTGTCTAAAGAGTCCAAGGCGAAAAGGGCAGCTTTGACGCGTGGGCCATTCTCACTTGGGCCACAGCCCGTGGGCTACGGGAGCCCTGACTCTCAACTCACGTACGCTTCAAGCCCATGATTCTTGGGCGCGCTGGCGGGTTCAGCACTTCTGTCTCCATCGCCCCTTAGGGTTACACACTTACGCGACTTGTTCCCTTTTTGTTCCCGAAAGCACTGCGACGGGTTATTCCGGTGAAATCGTGAGCCTTATCGGAGCAAGGGATACGAAAGCGCATGTCGAGCGCACTTGCAGAGCAAGATGCGCAAGAGCACACGCAGAGCAAGCAGCGCGAGAGCAAGAAGCACGAGAGCGGGTGCGGAGCAAGAAGCGCGAGAGCAGCAAACTGCGCCGCGCCCAAGAGAACGTGCGCAGAAAGTTGCACGAAAGATAACGGGCAGCAAATTTCACGTGAACACGTGCAGCAGAGAACGCCCGCAGCAAATGGCATGAGATAACGCAACAAGGTTGCACGGCAGAATGCGCGGGCAACAAATCGCACGAGAGTACGCGCGGCAAAATGCGCCATCCAGCTTGCAAAAGCAAGCTCGCGCGAGAAACCTTGCATGACCTATGGACTCGAAATTGAACTTGGTTTTTCAAGGCGGCGCTGCGCGGCCAAACCCATTCTATGACACTCTCTTCGTAGATCGGCGGTCGAGATTCAAAAACTCGAGGTTAATGATCCTTTGTGTTTTAAGCGTGCAACCCTCTGCGTGGAGTGGAATGGTCGAGGTTCAACTTTTGCTTAAATCTCGGTTTGTGCCGTTGGGGCGTGGATCGGCGTGGTCAGAATCTCAAGGTGCGACTCTCTGCGAGGATTAGAAGAGCGCGCAGGTCTTGTCATTTTTAGGTTTGCCCACGCCCGCCGCGAGGACTGGCTCGGTCGTGCGTCCAAAACGCAAGCGTGACCAAGCACCCCAGGGAGAGAGCTGCGCAGCGAAACATGCTCAACACACTTGTAGAGAAATATGCGCCGCGAGCTCGTGCAGAGAAACTTGCATCGTGGACTCGCGCAAACAAACTTGCAAAGAGCAAGTTGCACAGACAGCTTGTGGAATGAACGGAGTGATGACGTGGGAAAGCTTTCCTGATCTGTTTGTCGCACCGCAGGGCAACCATGTGCTTTGCGTGTAGTCGTTGAGCGTGTCAGCAAGTGCCGTCACTTCAGTCCCTCCTTTTTGAAGCCTTTGTTGGGACGGTTCAGGAAAAAGGAGGGAACAAGAAAGGAACGCCAGGAGCAGGAGGTGCTTGAGCAGCTGGACGGCGAGGACGTGCACCAGCCCTATGCCTTTCTGCGCGGTGAGTGTGGGCGGCGCTTCGTGTGCACGGGGCAGCCCATCCACTTGGCGGCCGGCCGTGGCCTTGACTCCATGGTTTCCCTGTTGCTGGAACACCGGGCAGACATTGACAGCACAGTGCAGGTAGGCAGTTGGGAGGGGAATGTGGGGAATGTTGAGAAAGACCCGAGGGGGATGTTGCGATTCTTGGGGCTGCGTCGAGTTTCGGCAGGAGGGCTGTCACAGCGGCAAGAGCGTGCTGCATGTGGCGGTGTACGGCGAGGGCAGGGGTGGCAGGTGCAGCACGTTGGAGCTGCTGTGCCAACGCGGGGCGGACCTCTCCAAATGCACCAGCGATGGTCTGACCTCGCTGCATTTGGCCTTCCAAACGGGAAACGTGGACACGGTGCGCTTCGTGCGGTCCCACGTGGCCTTGGAGGACATCACCGGGTCCAATGCCTCGGGGTACACTCCGCTGGAGATGGGCATCAAGTTCGGGCGCATGGGCCAGGAGCAGCTGGTGCGCGCGGCCGCGGTGAACTTGTCCAGTCTGAAGACCTTCATCTACCACGCCGCCGAGTGCATCCCCATGTTCTTGAGCGCCTCCTGGGCCGTGTGGAGTGCGGAGATCGGGATGCAGCTGAAGCAGAAGGACGTGGTGCATTTGCTGACCTCGCACTCAGAGGCAGCCGCGGCGGTCCTGGACAAGTTCACCTACCCCGTGCACATCACCATGGAAGAATGGCACGACCAGCGGTCCCATGTTCTGCAGGACATGGAGTCGCATGCGTTTCACGGCCGCGACACCTTCAGCGCCTTCTACGCCAAGGACATGGAGTGGAGCGAGTGGCATGACGAGCTGCAGACCTTCAGAGAGCCGCCCCACGTGCTGAAGTGCCACATCCCCGGCCTCATCTCTCCGACCTTCTTCAGTGCCCTGAAGGCCTGCGGTAACCTGGACATCTTCGGCAACGTCACGGTGCGCGCGGCCATCAGCTACGTCTTCTGGCATGGATCCATCTGGGTGGACGTGGCACAGTTCATCGTGAGCTTCTGGGGCCTCATGCTGCTCATGATCGAGGGCCGGATCGTGCACGAAGCAGCCATCACCGAGATGAGTGGAGCTGGCCACACGGATTTTGACCACGCCATGGATGGGGTCTTCTCTCCCAGCTTCGGGCCGGAGCGGTACAAGTACGGCGTGGTGGCCGACTGGATCATCGCCAAGGGCTTTGTGGATTTGTTGCTGGAGTTTTCGCAGTTCTTCGGAAGCTGGAAGATGGGCGACCTGTCTGCCTACTCCAACCTGGGAAACCTTTGGGATCTCTTCCGCAGTTTGGTGCCACTCATGCTGTTGTGCTTCAGCACGTCTCGCATCATCCATCTTCTCATCGTGCTCATCTACTGGACGCGACTCCTGGAGGGCATCACATACTGGAAGCCCATGGGCTTGGCCCTGCTGCCGCTGTCCAAGCTGGCCGGGGGCCTGATGCCCCCGATCATTCTGATGCTCTTCGGGTTCTTTGCACTGACCCACGCCATGTACACCATCCAGCTGAGTCCCAAGTTCTGGCCGGACACCTTGTGGGACTCCTTCAGCCTGCTCATCACCCAGGGCCTGCCGGAGGCTCAGCCAGAGGACATTCTCGAGCTGGTGTTGCTCTACGGGGGGGTCTTGTTCTTCTCGGTGTTCATGCTGAACATCTTCATCGGCGTGATCAGCGAGCAGTACACCCAGGAGAAGGAGCAGGCCCTGGCGATGTTCGAGGCCGCGCGCGCCTCCAGCTGCCAGACGTTTCTGGTGCGCGCCTCGCTGCTGCCGCAGCTGGGGCGCCTCTGTGGGCGCTGGACGGCGGTGGCCGTGTCTCTGACCTGCGCCCTGGGGGCCCTGCTGCTGCAGGCGCTGGCGCTGGGCCACGTGTTCCAACTGCCGGGGGTGTGGCAGCTGTGCGCCTTCCTCACCTGCCAGCTGGTGATTTTGCTGTCCACCGCCCAGTGCAAGGGCTCCAGCTTCCCCTGGATCGACACCTTCGAAACGGACCGCCAGCTCTGGATCTGCCGCAGCCCCATAGCCAACCGGGTGGGGGACTCCAAGATGGACAAGGAAGCAGACAAGCTGGAGGCGGAGAAGTTGGAGAAGCTGGAGATGCTGGAGAGGAAGGAGAGGAACCAGAGGAGGAAGGAGAGGAGGACAGAGATCGAGGCCCTGGCCAGCTCGGAGTTCAAGAGCCTCCTGCGTCTCACGCTCCGCGAGACCTTGGAGGAGATGTCTGAGCCGACGTCTGAGCCGATTGAGGGAGCTCCCGCAGCCGCGGGCGGCGCGGGCGGCGCGGGCGACGCGGGCGGCGCGGGCGGCGCGGGCGGCGCGGGCGGCGCGCCCCGCGCGTTGCCAACGCTGCTCGGCGAGAGACGTTTCCACTTCCGACGCTCCAAAGAGAGTAAAGAGACCCGAGGGTAGACAGTTGACTCCCCGATGCATTGGATTTGTGCCTGGAGACTTAATCCTCATAGCGTGCAATGACCGCTTTTTGAGTCTTGCTTGGCCTGGCTCCCACAAGAGGGCACACAGAACACGACACAGAAACAAAAGAGCTGAGCTGCCTGCTTGGAGTCTTGTGCACGTTGCGTGTCATGCTTCTCATGCTTCCCATGCTTGTCATGCCTGTCATGCACCGCAGGCCGATCACCGGCCCATGTCAAGCCAGTGTCCGAAACTTGCTGCTCGTGCGGGCAGAACAACAGTTGCAATAGCGGCAGTTGGAGTTGGGTTCGGGGGGGATGTTTGCCAGGAGATGGGTGAGAGTGCCGGAGCGCCCGCGTGCTCTGCGCCGCAATGTGGCGTCCCCTCTGTCTCACATAAATACCCGGCTCAGAGAGAAAAGTGAGGACTGCTATCACGCACCATGCGCCCGGCCCTCTACCCTTCGTCTGTGCATGGACCCACAGGGCCACGGGCTCAAGATCAAGGATGTTCTTAACTCGGCTCGTCGCTCTTGTGGCAGCCCCAGATGTGCCCAGTCCCCAAGCTCTGGCTTCGATGTGAGGCCCTGGCTTCGTATGCCGCGTTTGAAGCCCAGAGAGCAAAGCGAGAGCAAAGCGAGAGCCGCAGAGAGCGCGGAGAGCACGGAGCGCTTCGCGCGTCGCAGGCAGACCTTCCTGGCCGCGCCGGCGCTGCGCGCCGCCCCACGCGCAGGCGAGATCCGTGCCGAGGGGCCGATTTGGGCCGATTTGGGCCGATTTGGGCCGATTTGGGCCGATTTGGGCCGATTTGGGCCGATTTGGGCCGCTTTGGTTCAATGTCTGCAGGCAGAGCACATGGCTCTTCCAGAGAATCTTCAGGCTGGACCACTGTGTCATGGGATCTGTTTGGATGCCGGTCAGGGGCATTCGCTTTGGCTGTAGCCGTGGCCGGAGCTAGTTGCGGAGCGGCTGCAGCGGGGGCCCGCGCCTGATGTGACAAGGCAGCAAGGCAGCAAGGCAGCAAGGTGACAAGGCAAGAGTGGTAAGAGTCTTAAGAGTCTCAAGAGTTCTTACCGTGTTTTTACGGAACATTTTCAAACGCGAAAGTCGTCTCGTTCTCGGGCCGAGGCCCGGCGGAAGACGGCGCTGCGCGCTGTCACGGAGGTGGCCACTGCCTGGCGCTCGACGTCCTTCAGCTCGCATCCGGAAGTTCGGGAGATCTGCGCATTGCTCTTCTCGCTTTCGTTTCAATTGCTTGCAGGTGAAGCTCGCAAAGATCACTGGGGGCAAAGCCTGAGCCTCAGAGACTGACACGAGCTCGCTACTTCGTGGGACTCATGGGACTCAGGCCACACCAGCGCCGCCGGTGGGCCCTGCAATCGGAGCCTTCGGCCTCAACATCGCCATGTTCGTGAAGGCACGCCGCCACGGCACCACGGCACCACGGCGCCACGGCGCCACGGCACGGGATGGGATGGCACGGGATGGCGAGTGTCAGGAGTACAACGCTCTGACTGCTGACAAGGCACGGCTGCGAAGTGCGTCAAATGTTGCTGTAATTTGACTGGTCAGGTTGGAGAGACTTGCCCTTGCATTGTCCATGCAGCTGACCTGCATTTGGGACTTTGGGCAAGAGCTGAGCATGGCCTTGTTGGCACATCTGAGGTCATGAGTGACAAGAGCTTCAAGATTGAGCTGAAGACTCCACTGACAGCAACACTTCTGCACAAGGCCAGGTTTGCATCGGCTGCTCAGCGGTCAGCAAGAACACGCCCAGGCAGTGGGAGCGCAAAAGGGATCCGGCAAAGCAGGTCGGCACAGCATCGCGCGAGTTTAAATGGGGAGTTCTCAGCCAGGCACGGACATCATCGGCACCATCGGCATCGACAAGTTGGAAGAGATCGCCCGGACGAAGCTGCCGGACTTGAACTGCGAGGCGCGGTGGAGCCATATTCTTGGCCATTCACTATTGAGTCTTCAGAGTGATATATACGATGGTGGGGTCTGCGAATTGGTGAGCGAATGTATATTCATGCTAGTTATTGCTCTTTGAGAAACGCGTTTGCTACGTGAAGCGCAGGTGTGATTTGTGTCTCATGAGCGGCAGTGACACTTGCTGTTGCTTTCTGCCCACCCCCCTTCGTATCGTTTTTTGCGTGCGACTTGCAAACAAATGGCCGCATGGAATCGTTTTGGATTGACCTGATCTAAGCTTCAAGATCCATATGGATTGTGTCGATGGATCTTTTCAGGGTTCGTGAGTGTACCAGATCTGAAGACAAAAAGAAAAGGTGTGGTCACCTCGTTTTTTTTCATCAAGGCGTTCGTTTCAAGGCAAAGGCTGACGGGCTCTCAGCTGGTGAGGACATCAGCCGTGCCATGAAGATTGTGCACGGAACGGCCGTGGCCTCCGGCATCAAAGTGGAGGGCTACGAGGAGTGGCTGGAGACGGCGGCTCGGGCCCCGGACACAGAGACGAAGAGCTGTGGGGATAGGTTCGTGTCATGTGCGTCGGAGTTTCGGAATCGGAAGGTCCCAAAGCCGAAGACGATCATGGAGAGATATGGCCCAGGCCATGCGGCATGTGGCGTCTGCATTTTGTGCTCGATGTGTTCCAGGTGTGTCCAAGTTGCCTGCCCCATGGGGCGAGGCTTGGGATGCTTGGGGTTTCGGGTTCGATCCTTTTGGTTCGGCGGAGTTCGCTTAGGGCCCGCCTTTGGAAGAGGCGTGCCCTGGCCTCAGAATTTGAGAGAGGCGACATGTCGAAGCCGGAGTGGCAAAAGCGTGACGGCCGATGGCAAGGAGCCGTGGCGCTCACCAACGAAACGTTCCTGCGCAAAAGAGGGCATCCGATGAATCCGAGTGGCGCAACTTGCAGAGGGTTTGTTTCTTTTTTTCTTGATTTTGTTTCTCAGAGACACGGAATGAAAAGAAGTGGAACCTTGTCGTCTTGTGGCAGCCCTTGGCTCAACCTGACCCAGTGGGTATTGCAAAGGTCGTTTGCTGAGGAACCGAGTCGACCGAGTTTCGGTTTTGGCGGTTTTGGCGGTTTTGGTGGTTTTGGTCATGTTTGAGGCCAAGATGCCGATCACTGCGGAGCAGTTTGCTCTGACCCTCGAAAACATGACGAGGGCCTGGGAGGCGGGGACACCTAAGCGTTACCCGTGCCCCTGATCTCACCTTTCGGGCGACTTAGTCGTGCCTTTTTCTCCGTTTCCCAGGCACTTCCGGAAGAGCACAGGCTGCCCAAGGATGAAGAGAAGTCCTTCTACGATGATTGCCAGCAAACGTGCCTGGGCCATCCAATGCAAGCGGATTGCAGAGGGCGCTTTGGCAGTTGAGGGCGTGCAGACTTGGCATTTTGCAATCGAGGTGTGAAGAGATGATTGCGCGATGGCACTCCGGCGAGTCCTCACATCCGGACCGGGTAGAACTGGCGGCAGAGTGCGCGTTGGAGGGCAAGCCATGGAAAGCCATGGAAGGCCACATGGACAAGTAAAGCGCTGTTGCCAGGTACCCGGATTCGGAGGCGGGTAGAAGAAAGCTCCAGATGGACCTCTTCAACCCGGAGGTCAAGGACGACCCTTTCGCCTGGACCTTTGCTGCGACTCTCCGCAAGCTTCTTCCGTCACTTCGTCAGGTCCAGGCTGCTGACCTGAAGCTGCGGCTCATCAAGTGCCCGATGTCTCCACTCGGTTCAGCTGTGCCCCCCTTGTAAAGTGCCGTCACCTGCCGTCACCTGCCGTCACCTGCTGTGACCTGCCAAATGCCCAGCGCGTCGCAGAGTCTTTGCCAATGGCGTGTTGGCTCAGATGCTTCACGCTCACGTTTCTGAGGTACACCGGGCCCAAAAAGCACGTGAGTGCTCATGTGTGAAGCCCGGGTGTGCCCGGCGCACCTGGGGGAGTGAGTCGACGGAAGCCATGCGGCCACGCGGGACACACAATCGATGGTTTCTTTTTTCTTAATGTGTTGTGTTTGCCTGGCTTTATTATGTCTCAGCCCCCCAAGGGCCAGCCGTGCACGCTGCGAGCAAAGCATCGCAGAGACCTGGGCACTGAAAATGGCGAGCTCTGGCAGGGGCCTTCACCGGAACGGACTCATCTCAGCGCGAAGACGTTGGCTTAGAGAAACAGGTCTCGAGACAGAGGAAGCACATAAACATCGCACTGACATCACGCCATGCCAAGAGCCCAAGAGCCCGAGATCTGAGCCCGAGTTGATCTGATCCGAGGCAACGCACGTGGCGCATGTGAGGTTCGCTCCGAGCGATGGGCGAGCGATGAGCCCCCTGGGCACCCCCCCGGGCAGTGGCCCGAGTGGCCCGGGCAGCGGCCTCGGCCTCGGCCCCGGCCTGGCGCCCGGCCCCAGCGGCCCCAGCGGCCCGGGTGGCCCCGGCCCAAGTGGCCCTGGCTCGGGGCTCGGAGGCGGGGCGTCTGGCCGCTTCGTTCCAATAGCCGATCTCGCCGGGTAGGCATGGCGCCCATGATGGGCACGATGCCCATGGGCGGCATGCCCATGATGGGCATGGGGATGGGGAATATGCCCGGGAATATGGCGCCAATGGGCGGGAACATGCCGCCGATGGGGTCGAACATGCCAATGGGGGGAATGAATGGCATGAGTGGCATGAGCGGCATGGGTGGCATGGGTGGTATGGGTGGTATGGGCGGCATGGGCGGCATGGGCGGCATGGGCGGAATGGGCATGCCAATGATGGGAATGCCCATGATGGGCGGCATGAACCCCATGGTCTTCACCTCAGATTCCTCAGACTTAAGACAGTGAGCTTGAGAAAATAGACTAAGGCCATGATGAACATGATGATGAACATGGCAATGGGTGCTCAAGAGGAGGAGGATAAGGTAGCAGAGCTGCCGCCAGAACCAACCGACCCTAGGGTGAAGGAGATTTGCCGCCACTTTGGCATAGATGACAAGATTTGCGAGAAGCTGAATAAGGCGAGAGTCGGGGGTTCGAGACTGTCCCTTGTCCGGTTCAGAGCTCTGTTCGCAGGCCATGAAGACCAGAGAAGACTTTGACGAAGATATGCAAGTTCTGTGGCATATCATGGACAAGGGAACGAAAAACAACAAGAAAGCCGTTGATGTGATGCTTGTGAAGATCCGCGAGCTCAACAACGGGACTTTCATAGGCAGGGCGCACACGTCGGCAGTACTAAATTGCTCTCGTCAGTTCCAGGCAAAGACTTGCTGGACCCAGAAATCAAGGACTTTGCCTGGAAGTACAATCTGGACGACCAGCTCCTGCACAGATTAATCAAGACTATGAAGAAGCGAGGGAAACACAAATCACAGGACCCAGAGCCAGAGAACCCAGAGTCCGGCAGTGCGGCAAGCATGGCCCAGCATGGCTCTTTCTCATCTCTGGCATTGCCAGGACTTGAAAGATATGGATGAGCGTATTGGCTGCCTCGCTGCAGAGAGTGGCCTTGCTTGCTTGGCTTATGCGAAGCTGCCAGGTAATGCCAAGCATCCTTCTGGTCTCCTGGTGCGGATGCTGGAAGGCTCGGACGTACTTTGCGAGTGAGTCCGGCAGACCGGATGCATCCGGTGCCAGGCTTGGAGGAGAATGGGAAAATGCCTCCGGCCCCGGGCTGGCCGGGCGCTCTGGGCGCTCTCGTTTTCGCAACTCGCGGACTCGCGGACTCGCGGACTCGACGGGGGTCAGGCTGATGCAAAGCCACGGAAGTGCTCGTCGGGAGCCTGCCGAGAAGGCGGGTCCGAAGCTCCGAAACGCGAGCTGTCCGTGTGGCTCGTTCCGCGTATCGCAGGACAGGAAAAAGTCCCGGTCCCGTTCCAGGCGCTGAGCCGAAGAGCCCGAGAGAGAGCTCGCGACGGCTGTGCCTCGCAGCTTCCGGACGTGTACAGAGCTATGCCAGATCCGCGTAGAGTGAGCATGCGAGAGAGAAAGGCGAGACATGTTGCACTGTGTAACGCGTATAGCTCGCACTCGCGATTGTCATTTGAGTTCGGGGTCAGCCAATTGGCGCCCCTTTCCACCTTGCCATCTTGAAAAGCACTGACACAAAATTTAGTCGTTGCGATCTAGTTGTCTTCCTGGCCTTGATGGCCCTGGTCACCCAAATCGGCGGGGCAACAGTTTTATGCTTGAGAGCAGATACGAAACACAGCAAAGCCTTGGCCTGCCCTTCACGCGTCCGTGGTGACGTCTCTTGGTGACAGTCTGCAAGTCAGTGGTATGCTTATGTGTATGTTTGTACTGCTTCACTGCCTTACAACGTTTGCCATGCCTTCCTTTGATGCATTGTGGAATCTCCCATCTCAATTTGCGGATGCTTCCCTCCATATTGTATTTCCTATGTAACACAGGACGTTTCACCCTTCCAACTTTGCACGTGACTAGTTTTGACAGATTCAGATCCATTCTGCGACCGAGCATTTCCACACCCGGGTGGGCTTGCAACTCGAACGGTTTCCGTGTCGCACGGCATGCTCCGTGCGGTGTGTTCGCGGTGGCACGTACAAGCGCACAAGCCAACTAATGTTGCCTCACTGGCCTCTTTTTGCTGAAAGTTGATGCAACACTGATCGCTTCTGCACTGCTTGCGAGTGAAGGCAGGCGACACGTGATGACGCTGTTGCTTTGCTTAGGCTGTAAGCTACATGCTGAGCACGGCAACACTTGCAACACAAGTAAGCAGTAGACAACAGTTAGTGCTTCGTGAATTGGAGTTGTTGATCCGCAAGCTTTGCATTGATCTGCCGCTTCAGCAGCTTGAAAGCCGCAGCTCAAGCCCACACGTGTGCAGCTGCGAGTGCCGTCCCGGACTCTCTGCCAGCCACTGTCCCATACGTTTTGCGCTCGGCTCTTGTGATGCCAAACGTCGCGACTAGGCAAACTGCCAGCTTGCATTTGATCATGTATTTCTGTACTGTCAACCTCGCGGCAAACAAATGACCAGGCAGCTTGGCGAAAACGCATGAGGAAAGGCGGAGGCGTGCGCAGCTCGAAGCCTGCCCCGTTGTGCATGCTGTATTCCCTGCGACTGTCGATGTTTTAGCGCATTCCGGTGATGGCCGTGGTCTGGGCGCAACTGGTCTGTGCAGTTCTGGGGCAACGAGTGGGAAAAGTGAAGCTACCGGGACATCTTGCGCAATGGGAAGCACATCCAGAAACCACAACAGGACACCATCCGAACATCATCAAACCACCATAAAATCCCCACCCCTGGCCAGCGCGGAACAAGTAGAATTCCAGCAGAGCACCCCACAACAACTGGCCAAGCTCGCCACAAAAACCATCCAAAAGCAGCCAAAACGAGGGCGCCGCCGGAACGCTATGAAGGGAAGGCCTTGAGAAAGAAGGATTTTCTTGAAGGGCAGCGACGACATCCGGAAGGGCTGTTTGAGGGGAACTGGGACATGAACGGCCATCACCGCTCGGATTTCCTCAAAACATCACCGAAACACAACAAGACACCAGGGCACCAGCAAGACTCAACCGCAGCACTGTAGCAACGGCGTCGGATATGCAATGCAAGCGGGCGAGTGTGTCACTTCGTTGCGTCGAGCTCGCACCACATGATCCTTCAAATTACGTTGGGTTCCGCAGCCCGGCAATCAGGGTGGTTCCCTGAAGAGCTTTCCGAGTGTAGCAGCCGTCGCCGCTGCCCACGGTCCTCCCGCACTGGGTCTTCTACTGCGGCGCGGTGTCAGGGCCCGGCAGTTAGTAGCCGCGAGCAAGCCAGGCTGAGCCAGTGCCCAGCGCCAAAGTGGATGTTCTGTGCCAGGACGGCCCACAGGAAACACTCACTGGTGTGCTTTTGTACCACCAGCGGGGCTGGAGTTCTTCTTGTGGGGGCCACCCCGAGCAACATTTCTTGCCCCTTTGTTGGAAGCCACCAGGACGCCCCGTCCTTGTATATGACACGAGTTCGCGCAGTCGGTCGATACTGCCCCGCATCCGCATGCGGGGTGCTCGCCTTGTGTTGCCGCAATTGATAGACGGGCCCTGACCCCACGCGGACGGTGCAACGCTTGGATCTCCAATATGAACTGTTGCTGCTGCTGGTGCTGTTGTCGTTGTTGTGGTTGTTGTGGTTGTGGTTCTTGTGGTTGTTGTGGTTGTTCTGGTTGTTGTGGTTGCGGTTCTTGCTGCTGCTGCTGTTGTTTTCGTTGTTGTGGTTGTGGTTGTTGTGGTTGTTGTGGTTGTCGTGGTTGTGGTTGTTGTGATTGCTGCTGCTGCTGCTGCTGCTGCTGCTGCTGCTGCTGCTGCTGCTGCTGCTATTGTTGTCATTGTTGTGGTTGTGGTTGTGGTTGTGGTTGTGGTTGTGGTTGTTGTTGTTGTTGTTGTTGTTGTTGTTGTTGTTGTTGTTGTTGTTGTTGTTGTTGTGGTTGCAACTCGGCTGTTGTTGTGGTTGTGGTTGTGGTTGTGGTTGTGGTGGTGGTGGTGGTGGTGGTGGTGGTGGTGGTGGTGGTGGTGGTGGTGGTGGTGGTGGTGATTGTTGTTGTTGTTGTTGTTGTTGTTGTTGTTGTTGTTGTTGTTGTTGTTGTTGTTGTTGTTGTTGTTGTTGTTGTTGTTGTTGTTGTTGTTGTTGTTGTTGTTGTGTTGTTTGTTGTGTTGTTGTTGTTGTTGTTGTTGTTGTTGTTGTTGTTGTTGTTGTTGTTGTTGTTGTTGTTGTTTGTTGTTGTTGTTGTTGTTGTTGTTGTTGTTGTTGTTGTTGTTGTTGTTGTTGTGGTTGTTGCTGTTGTTGCTGTTGTTGTTGTTGTTGTTGTTGTTGTTGTTGTTGTTGTTGTTGTTGTTGTTGTTGTTGTTGTTGTTGTTGTTGTTGTTGTTGTTGTTGTTGATGTGGTTGTGGTTGTGGTTGTTGTTGTGGTGGTTGTCGTTGTTGTTGTTGTTGTTGTTGTTGGTGGCAGTCGCGTAAAGACCCTTGGAAACTTCAAAACAAAGCCACGCGACTGCTGCCAACAACAACGGCAACATCTGCCCGGGGGATTGGGGGGGGGGGTGGGCGTGTGGGTTCCAGCACGTTGTTATTTCAATAAAACTACGCGATTGCTGCCGACGACAACAGCAACATTTGACGGGGGGCGATGGGGGGTAGGGGGGTAGGGGTGAGGCCCACTGCCTGGGGCATCTTATCCCCGAAGGCAACCGACACCTTGTGGTAGTAGAGGATCTTTACTTGTTCCCTGGATCTATTCCGGAAAGTCCAAGTGCCAATACTGATAGATTGATGGATTAAACTGGCTGTGTGCCGTGGTTTGCCCTGCAAGTGGTCCGCTGTAGCACCTTTGTATCACGGATGCAATGGCTCAGTGAGCTATGTACATCTGATGTATGGCATGAAAGGCCTTGGGATAAAATGGTGTTGTGTGGAGTTCTATTGGCCCACAGCACTGAATGACGATTTGTTTTTTGCTTTTGGTCGTAGCCATTCAAGTGTGCGCCGTAGCCATAGATGTGTCAGGGACAAGTAAAATTTATATCTTGCCAGAATAAAAATACTGTATTCATGTATCCCTGTGTGGCGCGGGTGAAATGTTTGTGTTTGCAAATGGAAAAACTATGTACTCATTGCGGATACCTATTTGTTTCACAAGATAACGCACAACGCTATGCACAGGTGTGCAACTATTGAACTCCCACAGAAAAGTTTTGTTGATGGTGAGCAATCCGGAAATGTTCGATCACATCCTTCATGCAAAAATGGTGACGAAGAATGCCCTTCGCAGTGCAGGAGGCAGCCATGGCGTAATCCATTCTTTCCTCGATAGGCATCCCCCTTGTCGTGTTCCATGTGTCTTGATATGTCTGCATGATGTGGTTGATCACTCCATTCCCACCATTTCCATCCGAATATCACTCATTGGGCAGCAGAATAGGTTTTTTCTCACGCACCTTTTTGCGTCTGCCCAAGCGGCGAAACACGTGCTTAAGGAGGAGCCCCATTAGGACACAAGCGCAGCTAAGGGGTGGCGTGGGCCGGCACTAAGGAGGGGCGGGGGCGCCAAGAACCGTCGCCGAAGACGGGTGACGAAGGCCGGCGGGCAAGCCGAGTCGGCGAGGAGCTCGCTGAGGTCGGGCCCAGCGCCGCCAAAGCCAGACCGGCCAGCGCTGACGCGACCCTCGAGGAGAGACTCGGCGAAGGACAGCTGAGCCGCAAAGGGCAGGAACGCCGACCTGCGAGCAACGAAGGCGGCAGCCGTGGCGGAGCGGAAGGGAAGGGGGACTTCACGCGCCCGAGCTCGAGCGAGGAGGTGGACGAAGGACGCAGCTTTCTCGCTCCACCGGCCACCGGCCTCAAGGGCGAGGACAGCGAGGAGGCACCGGTGGGCCCGGAGGAGCTCGGGGTAGGCGCGCCCTTTCCGCAGGCGGTCTTTCCGAATGGAATCACTTGTCACAACCTGCCAACGCGACGCAATCACTGGCGATGCCAACAACAGTAGATAGCAATGAGTCTACAATCGTGGAAAACCTCAATTATAGCATGTGGAAGTCCGGCGCGAAAAATGCGTCGACTACTTTAGTCCGCATTTTGACTTTGGCAGTGCTCCTCGGAATTCATTGCTTTGGTCGATCTGGATGACCACAATTTCCTTGTTGTGCCCATATGTATGGATGGTAGTGCGAGGAGGCAATCTCTGGCCGACATCCTGCTTGAGGTTCTGCTTGGACATATGAGGTCCAGTCGTTGCCAGGCAGTCGAAGGTCGGCGTGTCATATTCGGGATCTATACAATCGATCTTGGTGCGAGAGCTCGAGGGTTCCATGCTTGGTTCATCATCATCGCCCTTGTCAGTGGAATGCAGTCGTTTCTTGGTCCGGTGGATGTGTTCTTTTGAGATAGGTCCTTGTCGGACTTGCTAGCATTGACATGAGTGATGCGAATTCGTGAATATTGGTGATATATGGTTCCAGATCTTCGACGTGGAGCCATCCAAGGCAG